GTTTTTTATTTATTTTTGGGACACAGAGAGACAGAGCATGAACGGGGGAGGGGCAGAGAGAGAGGGAGACACAGAATCGGAAACAGGCTCCAGGCTCTGAGCCATCAGCCCAGAGCCTGACGCGGGGCTCGAACTCACGGACCGGACCGCGAGATCGTGACCTGGCTGAAGTCGGACGCTTAACCGACTGCGCCACCCAGGCGCCCCTAAGGTCTGATATTTATTAAAGTAAATGTTTGCGGAGCAACTCTAGGGATGTGGGTAAAATGGGGACTTGGGGGTGGATACGGCAGCGGGGAGGGAATGCTTCCTTGTTCCCTTTTCATTGATTTTCCCAGTCCCTGATTCATCTACATCTTTTCAGAAGTTTATCAATTCACATCCATATTCACATTTAAAAATGTTTATCATATGCATATAAAACAATGAAAATAACTTATATATAGTTCATTAAAATTATTCTGATTTCTTTGTTACAAATGCTGTGTATAATCTCACAGGTACACATGCCAAAATTCCTTGGCAGTGGGAAATAAGGAAGCGAAGGATGTCACAATATGACAAAATATTATGACTCAGTGATTGGGAATAAATGTATTAAAATATCAGGTGCTTTCATTTGAAAGGCATATGGGAAATTTAGACTTTTCAAAGGAGTTCTAAAGGAAAAAAATTTTAGAATTGTATTTTGAAAGGGTCTAAAAATATGGAGTACAAAACCTTACTTTGCATTGGTTGATGGTATCATTGCAGGTAATGCCAAGAGGGTAAAAGGCAGTATCAATTCTCCTAAAGAAAATTACCTGTTTATGAATGTTTATATATATCCATATTTTTTTCTTAGATCTCAATTCTGTGTCCTTTCTAAAAGAAAGTTTGAATTAGAGATGGCAGTTGTAACTGACCTATCAATTTGTGTCAGATCCAGTTTTAGGTGTCCTAGTATTCTTGGTTACAAATAAAATGTAAAGTAAAATATTCTTTCATATAAGGGTTGAGAGCATAAGCTTTGGAACTAGGCTTCCTGGGTTTGGATCCTGGCACTCTTATTTACTGATTGTGGGACCACATAATTTAGCTGTGCCTCAGTTTCTCCAACTGTAAAATAAAGGTTGAATTACTTTTTGAAAGGTTGAATTACAAGAAAATAGCCTATACTGAACTCAGATCTCAGATCTCTCAGAGCCAATTAAAAATCCCAGGAGAGTCTGATTACTTCAGCCTTTATCAGGTGTGTATTCCAGTCTGTCAGTTTATGGCCATGGAAACAGGCCTATACAGAATAATAAGCCGTATAAACATGTTCCAGACGTCCAGTCTTGTCAGAAATAGGGGATTATTTTGGGCAAGGCAGGAACTTAAAAGCACAGTATTGATACTATCATTTTTTCTTAATTAATAGATTTTACTTTTTAGTGCAGTTTTATATTTATAGAAAAATAAATGGAAGTACAGAGAGTTCCCATATAGCCCCTCACCCACTCACCCCATTTCCACTGTTATTAACATTTTGCATTAGTGTGATACATTTTTTATAATTGATGAGCCAATATTGATATGTTATTATTAACTAAAGTCTGTAGTTTACATTAGGGTTCACTCTTTGTATTGTGCATCCTGTGAGTTTTGACAAACGTATAATGGCATGTATCTACCATTACAGTATCATAAGAATAGTTTCACTGCCCTAAAAATCCTCTGTACTCTACTTATTCATCTCTCCACTGATCTTTTTGTTGTTATTTATTTTATTTTTTAAAATTCAAGTATAGTTAACATACAGTGTTGTGTTAGTTTCAGATATACAATATACTGATTCAACAATTCTATACGTTTCTCAGTGCTCATCAAGATGTGTATACTTAATCTCCTTATTTTTTTTCATCCATACCCCTACTCACCTCCCCTCTGGCAACCACCAGTTGGTTCTCTGCATTTAAGAGTCTGGTTTTTTTGTTTGTTTCTTTTGTTGTTGTTGTTGTTCATTTGTTTTGATTCTTAAATTCCATGTAAGAATGGGATCATATGGTATTTGTCTTTCTCTGGCCGACTTCACTTAGCGTTATACCCTCTAGGTCTGTTTTTACTATCTCTGTAGTGTTGCCTTTTCCAGAATTTCATGTGGTTGGAATCATAAAGTATATACAGTTTTTTTAGATTGGTGTCTTTTAGCGGTGCCTGGGTGGCTCAGTTGGTTAAGCATCCGACTTCAGCTCAGGTCATGATCTCACAGTTTGTGGGTTTGAACCCCGTGTTGGGCTCTGTGCTGACAGCTCAGAGCCTGGAGCCTGCTTTGGATTCTGTGTTTCCATCTCTCTCTACCCCTCCCCTGCTTGCTCTCTATCTCTCTGTGCCTCTCAAAAATAAAGAAATGTAATAACAAAAAAAAATATTGGTGTCTTTCACTTATCACTAGACCTCCATGTCTTTTTTTTTCTGTGGCTTGATAGCTCATTTCCTTTTATCACTGAATAATAATCTATTGTGTGGATATACCACAGTTTGTCCATTCACCTATTGAAGGACATCTTGGTTGCTTCCAGTTTTTGGCAATTATGAATAAAGCTACTGTAACCACAATGAAAATATTCATGTGCAAGTTTTTGTGTGGACAAAAGTTTACCACTCATTTGGGTAAATACTAAGAGCACAATTGCTGGATCGTATGATGAGAGTAGGTTTAGTTTTGTTAGAAACTACCAAACTGTCTTCCAACGCTGCTGTGCCATTTCGTATGCCCACCAGCAATAAACGAGATTTCTCATTGCCCCACATCTTTTTCAGCATTTGGTGTTGTCAGTGTTTTGGATTTTAGCCATTACAAAATAGGGGTGCAGTGGCAACTCATTGTTTTGTTTTTGTTAATTTGCCATTCCCTAACGGCATAAGATGTGGAACATCTTTTCATATGCTTATTTGACATCTGTATATCTTCTTCGGCAAGGAGTCTGTTTAGATCATTTGCCCATTTTTTAATTGGGTTGTTTTCTTATTGATGAGTTTTAAGAGTTCTCTGTATATTTTGGATATGACTCCTTTATCAGATATGTGTTTTGTAAATATTTTCTCTTAGTTGGCATTATTTTTCACCTCTCCTGGCCTCTGCTTTTCTATGGTGATTTCCTAGTTGGCAGGTCTACACAATGCCTTATACTGTTGGTTAGCGAGGCTCCATATCACCAGCAAGTGGTGATACTAACATAAGGCTTCCTAGCAAAATCCTTACATATGTATCACAGGATATATAAGAAGTTGTAAACTTCCTTTTTCTAATATTCGCCCCCTCCCCGACATAACAGAAGAACAAGAAAAAAGGAAAGGTTACTCCCAATTCTAATATCTCCTCTTTTTCCTGCGTTCTCTTCACTTTTCCATATGGGAAGTAGTAAACTTGATGATCTTTTGAGGCCACCACAACAATTTGCCACCTTTATTTTATTTTATTTTTTTTAAATTTTTTTTTCAACGTTTTTTTATTTATTTTTGGGACAGAGAGAGACAGAGCATGAACGGGGGAGGGGCAGAGAGAGAGGGAGACACAGAATCAGAAACAGGCTCCAGGCTCCGAGCCATCAGCCCAGAGCCTGATGCGGGGCTCGAACTCACAGACGGTGAGATCGTGACCTGGCTGAAGTCGGACGCTTAACCGACTGCGCCACCCAGGCGCCCCAATTTGCCACCTTTAAAATTTATTTTCATATATTCTTAGCTAGTTAAATAAGAAATCCATATTTTTGTGTTTCTTTTATTAGTAAGATGGAGGTTTTGAAAGATTGTGGGAAATAACTCACTTTGTCAATAGCAGAGTAGAAAAGAGGCTCTCTTCTCTCTCTTCTCTCTACTCACTATTCTGTTGTCACATCCATTAGAGTTACTGTTACTGTTACATTAACACCCTGTCCTTGCTGTAAATGCTGATGCTGTCTGGAGTGGACTGTATTGCCATTGTAGCCTCTGGTACTTTTTTTAAGCACGAACTTTGGTACTTCAGGTGAGTTTATAAAGATACACGGGTAGGGTTGTCTGGGTGACTCAGCTGGTTAAGCATTCGACTTTTGATTTCGGCTCAGGTCATGATCTCACAGTTTCATACGTTCAAGTCCTGCATTGGGCTTTGTGCTGACCCTGCAGAGCCTGCTTGGGATTCTCTCTCTCTCTGTCTCTCCCCTGCTCATGCTCTCTCCGTCTCTCTCAAAATAAATAAATTAATTAAAAAAAAAAGGATATACAGATAGTTCCCCAATTTATAGCCGTATTTATGTTCCAAATGTTAGTATGAATTGGTTGTTTGGCATTTAGGATGTTTTCCTATAGAAGAATCTTTCAAATGAAATTGGATTTCCAGAGCAATACATAAAAGTAAATATAACTCAACTCAAGTTTATGAAACAATTACGTGATTGGGGCACCTGGGTGGCTCAGTTGGTTAAGCTTTTAACTCTTGGTTTCAGCTCAGGTCATGATCTCATGGTTCTGTGGGTTCAAGCCCCACATCAGGCTCTGTGCTGGCAGCACGGAGCCTGCTTGGGATTCTCTGTCTCCCTCTCTCTCTCCTCTTTCCCCACTTGCTCTGTCTCTCTCGAAATAAATAAACTTAAAAACCCAATTGATTATTTATTTACCATGGTTTGAGGCCTTTCTGAGCTTGACTGGAAACCTAAACATTAATTATAAGAATTTTTATGGAGGGGCACCTGAATGGCTCAGTCGGTTAAGTGTCCAACTTCAGCTCAGGTCATGATCTCATGGTTCCTGGGTTCGGGCCCTGCATCGGCTCTGTGCTGACAGCTTGGAACCTGGAGTCTGCTTTGGATTCTCTGTCTGTCTGTCTCTCTCAAAAATAAATAAACATTAAAAAAAATTTTTTTTGAGAATTTTTATGGAGAAAATTGTTCTATAATTGACTTAGATCATGGTAGATAAAGGCATATTGTTCATTTTTTACATTACTCATCTAGGATTACCTACTCTGAGAATGATTTTGTCATTTGTATGTATAGATGTTCCAAAGATGAGGATGCCTGTCTAATCGCCTAAGGGGAGGAAATGCCACTAAACTTCTACTGGGTAGATTGTACCTATGTTAATGTATTTTTCACAGGGTATTGCAACCATCCAACTATATTTGGTACTCTCATCAGACTTTGACTAGTCAGTACTCAGTAGACTGGTCTCACCAGACTCACTGGTCTTCTTTCCTCTGTATCACCAGGGTACTCTATGGTCTTTTTTATATTATGCTCAGTATTGTCAGAATTGAAGAGTGAATTCACTGTACTGGCCTGTGGCCTACCTTCGGAGCAGTGAACAAAGTGGATGCTTTAGCAGCCAATTTCCAAAGCACTTTTATGTATGTCTGCATATACTTTCACACATAACTATTTGATACTTACAAACAACGTGAGGTAGATATTACTGTCCACATTTCATAATTGAGGCAACTAGGGCTTAGGTGTATGAACTGATTGTTGAAGATTAAACAGTGAGGAAGTACCAGAATCAGAATTTGAACCCAGATTTTCAGACTTCAAACACTAAGCTTTTACTACTACTATTATCCTTCAAAACCATTGATTTTTATTCTCCTCAAATATAAGATGTAGAAAGCATCAGGATTATTTTGGATAATCTGGGCTATTTGGCCATTGTGGTGTCATGGAGCATTGCTTGAATTAAAAAGCAATGCAGTATTATTTTAAAAATGAGAAAATAATGACACTTTAAAGAGCTGCTGGTTGTACCTGTTACATTTTTTCCCCCTACAGTAGTCCTTGGCTTTTATTTTATTTTATTTACTAATTTTTAGCATTCAGGTTTAAAATTTTTATGTAATAAAATCTATCAGTTGTTTCCTTGATACTTTCTGGGCTTTATGTCTTGCTGTGACTTTTCTATAGTTCACACTATAAAAACATTAGCCTATATTTTCTCAAATTTATGTTTAGTGTTTTTTTCTTTTTTTATTGTGTTAATATATACATAGCATAAAATTTACCATTAGGCTTTTCTCTTTTTTTGCCATTAACCATTTTTAAGTGTGCTGTTCACTGGAATTATATTCATTCACGTTCTTGTGCAACCACCCCCGGCCGCCCTCCATCACCAGAATTCTGTTCATCTTGTAAAACTGAATGAAACTCTACCTGTAAGACAGTACCTTCTCATTCTCCCCTCCCCCCCCCCACACCCCACCCCCAGCCCCTGGCAACCACTATTCTTTCTGTCTCTATAATTTAGACTATTCTAGATAACTGCTATAAATGGAGTCATATAGTACTTGTCTTTCTATAACTTTGTGTAGCATGTGTCAGAATTTCCTTCCTTTTTTAAGGCTGTATAATATCCCACTGTTTGTATATGCCACATTTTGCTTATCCGTTCGAATGTTGATGGCCACTTGGGTTGCATCTGCACTTTAGCTATTGTGAATAATACTGCTGTGAACATGAATGTACAAATATCTCTTTAAGACCCTGCTTCTTTAGGGTAAATACTGAGAAGTGGAATTGCTGGTTTACATGGTAATTCTGTTTTTAATGTTTTGAGGAATGTCTGTACTGTTTTCCACCATGGCTGTACCATTTTACATTTCTACAAGTGGTGTACAAGGTTTCTGAGTTTTTTACATCCTTGCCAACTTTTGTTTTCTGCTTTTTGGATAGTAGTCCTCCTCATATGTAGGAAGTGGTATCTCATTGTAGTTTTGATTTGAATTTCCCTAATGATCTGTGCTGTTGAAGATCTTTTCATATGCTTATTGGCCATTTGTATATCTTTGGAGAAATGTCTTGCCCATTTTTGAATTAGACTGTTGAGTTGTTGTTGGTAATTGTTGACATTTAGGAGTTCTCTATATATTTTTGGTATTAATCCCTTATCAGATATATAATTTGCCAATGTTATCTCCTATTCTGTGGGATGCCTTTTTATTCTGTGTATAGTCTCTTTTGATATACAAATTAAAAAATTTGTCATGAAGTCCATTTTGTCTATTCTTTTGTTACCTGTGCCCTTGGTGTCACATCCAAGGAATCATTGCCAAGTCCAATGTTGTGAAGATTTTGTCCTGTTCTAAGAATTATTGTTTTAGGTCTTATGTTTAGGCTCTTGATCTTTTTAAGTTAATATTTGTATGTGGTGTTAGTTAAGGTCCAAATTTATTATTATTATTATTATTATTATTATTTGCATTTGGATATTAAGTTTTCCAGCACCATTTGTTGAAAGACTATCCTTTCTCCACTAGAATGGTCTTGACACCCTTGTCAAAATCATTTGACTATATATTTGAGGGTTTATTTCTGGGGTCTCTATTCTATTCCTTTGGTCTATATGTGTCTTCTAGCAATACCACACTAGTTAGCTTTGTGTAGTAAGTTTTGAAATCAGGAAATGTGAATCCTCCAGTTTTTTTCTTCTTTTTCAGGATTATTTTGACTATTCAGAGCCTCTTGAGATTCTTTATGAATTTTAGAATGGGTTTTTCTATTACTGCAAAAAACATCATTGTGATTTTGACAGGGATTACTTTGGGTAATATTGACATTTGAACTATACTGTCTTCCAACCAATGAACATGGGATGCATTTCTATTTATTTATGTCTCCTTTAATTTCTTTCAGCAATGTTTTGTAGTTTTATTTGTACAAATCTTTCACCTCTTTGGTTAAGTTAATTCCTAAATATTTTATTCTTTTTGATGCTGTTGTAAATGGAATTATTTTTATAATTTCCTTTTAGGTTGCTTATTGTTTGTGTATAGAAATGTAATTGATTTGTGTGTGTTGACTTTGTATCCTGCTACTTTGCTGAGTTCACTTATTAGGTCTAACAGGGTCTCTTTTGTGTGAGGTCTTTAGAATACTCGGTGTTTAAGATCATATCATCTGCAAACAGAAGTAATTTTACTTATTTCATTACAGTTTGGATGCCTTTTATTTCTTTTTCTTGCCTAATTGCTTTGGTTAGAACTTTCAGTACCATGTTGAATAAAAGTGATGAAAGGGTCGTCCTTGCCTTGTCCCAGATCTTAGAGGAAATGCTTCACCATTGTGTATTGTTTGCTGTAGATTTTCATGTATGGCTTTTAGTATATGGAGGTAGTTTCCTTCTATTTTTATTCTGTTGAGTGTTTTTATCTTGAAAGGATCTTGAATTTTGTCAAATGCTTTTTATACATCAATTTTTTTTTTTTTTTTACTTTATTGATGTGTGCCTGTTTTTGAAAAGCAGGATGATGGAAAGAACATGGAATTTGGTGTCTGACATATTTGCATTAAAATTTGCTTTGTTTTTTAGGGGCGCCTGGGTGGCGCAGTCGGTTAAGCGTCCGACTTCAGCCAGGTCACGATCTCGCGGTCCGTGAGTTCGAGCCCCGCGTCAGGCTCGCATCAGGCTCTGGGCTGATGGCTCAGAGCCTGGAGCCTGTTTCTGATTCTGTGTCTCCCTCTCTCTCTGCCCCTCCCCTGTTCATGCTCTGTCTCTCTCTGTCCCAAAAATAAATAATAAAAACGTTGAAAAAAAAAATTAAAAAAAAAAAATTTGCTTTGTTTTTTCTAATTTATATGACCTTAAGCTTGGCTTAGTGAGTAACTTAATCTCCTGGGCCACCGTTTTTTCACCTATAAAATAATATCAACCTTCATGGTTCAGATGAATAGCAAATAAGGTTTATATGTATAAAGCCCCTTAGCACTCTCCCTAGCAAATAGTAGAACCTCTGTCTTACCCTTTACCCCAGTGACATGTGATTATTATTATTGTATTTCTGTTGTTGATAGGCTTTTGTTATACTTGGCATTGGTTGGGCATTGGTTAAAATTATAGACAGTTTTTTTTTTTAACTTTTATTTTAAGGAGAATTGTGAAGTTATAGTAGACTTAATAAGAACCAGATGGCTAAGTAAATTTAAAACTATTTTTAAAGGTAAAGTTAAAATATCTATGGTGTTAGGATACATATGGTCAAGGTATTTTTTTTTTATACCTGTAAACAGGTTATCTAAATGTGGACTGCCAAGAAAGATAATTTTCACTTTATGTGTGATCCGCAGTGCGCTGCTGGTGGAGTGTGAATTGATGTAGTTTGTTTGGGAAGCTATTTGGCAATAAAACTAGTCATAGCTTTTGACCAGTCTTCTCATTCCACAAAGGATTTAGATCTACCCTGTAACTTAGTAAGCCTATTTCTGGGAATCTGTGTCAAGAAAAAACCTTGAGGAAGAAAAAAAAAGAAGAAGAAACCTTGAGGGGTGCCTGGGTGGCTCAGTTGGTTGAGCATCCAACTCTTGGTCTCAGCTCAGGTCTTGATCTCAAGGTTGTGAGTTCAAGCCCTGCCTTGGGCTCTGTTTTGGGCATGAAGCCTACTTAAAAAAGGAGAAAGAAATTTTGAAATGCAGATATAAACTGTACATTTTATTTATTTATTTATTTATTTATTATTGAAGTATAATCTATATACAGTAAAATACACATTTTAAGTGTACAGCTCAATGATTATTTTACCTATGTAGATATAGAACATTTCTGTCACCCAGAAAGTTTCCTTTGCCCTCTTTCTGGTTATACTCTACCTGTCACCCCACAATGGTAACCACTGCTCTGACTTCTATCACCATATATGCTTTTGCTGGTTCTTGAACTTAATATAAGTGAAACCATGCAGTGTATACTCTTTTGTGCAGGGCTGTTTTCAATCAGCCATAATGTTTTTGAGATTTAACGATGTCGTTGTGTATATTACCAGTTTGTTCTTTTTATTGCTGAGTAGTGTTCCATTAAATGAATATGCTACAATTTGCTTATTTGTTCTCCTGTTCATAGATATATGATTCTAGTTTTTGGCTTTATGAACATTCATGTATAGGTCGTTTTGAGGACGTATCTGCTAATTTCTCCTGGATACATACCTGTAACACTTATTGTTATTAAATTTAAAACAACATAAGTATCCAACAATGGAGAATAGATTGGTGTAGATCAGCATGTAATCCTGTCTACAATAATGGCCAGTGGAAGAGGACGAAAAATACGGGTGTGAAAGTATTGTGAAGGCTGAGGTGAATTCC